AATTCTGTAGGTTACTAAAACTTGATTGGTTTGGAATTCTGTAGGGTACTAAAACTTGATTGGTTTGGAATTTTAAAAAAGAAATACAACGTTTTGCAGCAGAAGTAGCCTGGTCCAATTGAAATTCCTGTTTTTATCTGTTCTTAAATAAGCTGCTGTTTTCATAGCGGAAACCCCTGTTTTTGTGTATTACTGACACTAAGAAAAGCTTGAAAACCAAATTGATTCTAATTTTTTTAGACGGCTTCATATAAATATAGATATTTCACTACACAAGCAGTCTTACTCATAATAATTATAAGTTGTTTACTTTGCAGACGCAAATATGAATCTGCAGCCATTACAAGAAAAACAACGGCCTTCAGATGAATCTGTGCCCACCCCAGGGAAGCCAGAAACGGCACCACAACTCGCAGATAAGAAGCCTCTTGAGATGTCAGAGCAGAAAGCTGCTGAGCTGAGTGTGAACCGCAGTGTCTCCACGCCGTCTCCTACCAAGAGTCCCAACAGAAGTGCGGCAACTCCACTCAAATCCTCTACAGGTACCCAGGGCCCCCCCAAACCCACCACATCAGCGTCGAAAGTAGCCTTTACCCCAGTGGCCAGACCCACAAGCGTTCACAGCTTGGATGCTGCGCAGCCAGGACAGGTTGATTATGATGAAGACACCACCAAAAACCTCATGATGAGTGAGCTAGACATGGAAATGGAGAGCTACAACTATGACCAGGACCTGCAGAATGTCCCCGGCAAGGCTGACATGGATGGTGGTGACAGCATGGACCAAGACCGAGAGGTGGACTTTTTAAAGAACATGGACAGTGACCTGGAAGCACTGAATCAAGCTGAAAATATGGGTAAGATTGCTGTGCAGCTAAAGGCAACGACCATCTACCAAGCCCAGAATGAGGACTCCCACTTCTTCTTCCACTTGGTCATCATTGCATTCCTGGTGGTCATTGCTTACATCACCTATCACAACAAGAGAAAGGTAATGACAGTTTGAAAGTGTCCAGACTGTGAAGTATCTGAAAACTGCTGTCTTTTTCACTATTGCTGCTGTTTCTAAAGAATTTCCCCATTGTGGGATTAATAAAGTCAATCTAATCTAATCTAATCTAATCTAATCTAATCTAATCTAAACCTTGTAGAAATTTGGAACAAATGACATTTCAGTGCTGTGTGAAATGCAAATGCGACCTCTAAAATAGATCAGAAGTGTTATTTAACTTTCCAACATTCTGAATGTTATTTATACATAATTATGGTAAGAGCATTGTGGGTTTCCAGTAATGTAGTTTATAAGGGAAGTCTGTTATGACCATAAATTGGCAGACAGTTGGGAAAGTATGAATCAAAGGCTTTACTGCAACACTTCAGTGCGGACAAGTAATAATGCTCGATGAGCATGAGGTAATGTTCATATCATTATAGTCAAATGCAATGTAATTTGGAGATAATTTTAATAAATTATAGAAATTTAATAAATTTTAATCCTGGGATGGGTTCTGTATCAAGCGGTTACGGGGATGGATGGATGGATGAACAATTTTAATCCAATCAGCTGTAGAATCAGGAAAAAAGGTTAATTATGGTCTGTACAATCTGTCCTTTGGTGGGAAAATTGAAATAGTTTTGTATTGTTTGGTATCTATAATGCTAGCTAATGTGTGTTGGAGAACTTTCTTGTCAGTTGGCAATGCAAACTGTTAGGTCTCATGAACCTATGGATTTGTCTGCCCCCCTGTAGATACTCCTACTGGCCCAAAGCAGGAGATGGAGGGATGGGCTGTGCTCCCACAGCGTGGAGTACCATCGGCTGGATCAGAATGTCAATGAGGCCATGCCTTCACTCAGGATAACCAACGATTACATCTTCTAAACTGAGAAGAAAAGTCCTGATAAGAAGATTGCATGAATGCTTGACTTTTGAGTGTAATATATCTGTGTGTGAGATCTGTCCTATGATGCTACAGAAGTGGTTGGTGTAAGGAAGTTCAAGGAACTTTATTTATATCAATCTCACAAACAATGGCAGGATTAATTTGATAGAGGTCAATTATTTGAAGGTTTCATCTCACCTTTGTAAAATTCTGTAGCATCGCAGGAAGCTTCAGAGATGAGTATTAACTTTCCTTGGATGGCACAACAATATTCATTTGAAAAAATAGTTTGTTGCTTGTTTGAAGATTATCAAGAAATGTTATATTAAGCTGCACTGTATCAGACAAACAATGTATAATGTATTATTTTGGTTATTTTCGGGCATGGAGCTGTCATACTTCTTTTACTGCTTGATTAAATAGTTATAATTTGACTCATGATAATTCAGACTGTTTAGTGGTTAATGATGATGGTTTGTGTGAGCTATATAAATACTTATTAGAATCCATAGTCTTTCATGGGTGAACTATTCTGTAACTTACATATGAAGATGCAATTAATCCAGAAGTTGAAAAATATCTTCTTGACTGGTTACAGTTTTATTGTGTTTGTATGATGGTCTGAACATGAACATTGTATGAAAATGTAGCATTTCTATTAACTGTTCCGGAGAATCATCCAGCCATGTAATCCTGTAATGGGTAATCAGTCCTGTTTTTTTTTTTGTGCGTGTGTGTAATGGTCTTTGCTGCAAAAGAAAGTACTGCATTTGGAATTTTATAATACACTTCTGTGCATTTAGTGGTAAATTTATAGTTTGTATGTATTTGAGTTTATTTATTTTGTTTGGGGGGGGTATCCTGAATGAATGACCTGTAAAGTGTCACATTTGGCTGGTGTAAGTGAGTGGATGTTCTGTTGGATGTCAGCATGTTGCGCACAAGTTCCATCACCTCTGTTTTTATGTACTATAATGATGGCAATACAAGTGTGTTGTATTTATAGGCAGTGTGTGTGTTTTTTTTAAGTTTTACAGTTAATGAGACAAATTTCTTATTGAAGTAAAATTTGTGCAAAATGCAAAATTAGTAACGTTTGTGCAGCATCTGAGCTCTTACTGCACCTGTCTGCTAGAAAGGGACGGTTTGTTGGAATACAGGAAATGAGTGATAGCGTGTTAATCGTATCGGTTGTCACATAATTATTTTTATGTAATATATTTTATGTTTATATTTTGAAATGGTTTTTTATTGGTGTCACATTTGTGCTTGGGAAAATTGTCAGTCAATGCAATTATCAACATTGTGTGGCTATGGAGTCGCCCCTCAAAAACTGTGCTAAAATAAAATTGACATCTGGTGTTGAATTGTGCTGAATAGTGGATGGAATTTACTATTAATTTTGGCCTCACAGATGACTATGTTTTACCATGTTACGTTACGTACATGGGATAGAGCAGTGAAGCAACAGTGTCACCTAAACATCTGTACGAACACATACGTTGTATGTCATCGCTAACATTTCTGTGTCCTTAGTGCTATTACACTGATATACAGTGATTTTGGTGCCAATGATGTCTGAACGGTTTTATATTAAGTTTATGTTGCTGATTAGGAATATGACTTCAGTTTTGCCAGATTGGCTCTAGTTTCTGAGATATTTAATAGTTAATAACCGCAAGATGTTTGCATTCAGAATTCCAAGAATATTTTTATTTTAGTTACAACTAGTAAGTAAACAGTCTAACATCAACCAAAAAAGAAACAGTAGTCTGCCATCATGTGTATGTCCCATCTGCCTTGATATCTCTCCTCCATCACCCTCATAGTCTGGTGGAACCTCTCGCCTTGTTCCTCGCTGAAGTCTCCAAGGTTATCTGGAAATCCGTTTAAATGGCTATGGAGATGGTGCATCTTTATGCTCTGAAGTTAGCAAGCATATCTTGCACCAATTCTTCATAATTGTCTGCTCTGCGATTACCCAAGTAGTTCTTCACAACAGAGACAAAACTCTTCCAGGCCGAAGCCTCAGTGTCATTCATGCATTTGGTAAAACTGTAATTGTTCATGAGTGTATGAATCTGAGGACCATCAAAGATTCCAGCTTTTAGTTTTTCCATGCTCAGTCCAGAGATTGATCTACAAATGTACTTGAAGCAATTGACCATTTTGTCCAAAGCCCTAACAAACTGCTTCATCAATCCCAGCTTAATATGAAGCGGTGGGAGAATGATTTTGTTCTTGTCCAGCAGTGGCTTGTTGATGTTTCATTACCTAAGACACTGTTGAGTCAAAAGACAGACCAAAGCTGTTGCATTTGTTATCACACACAAGTCGCACTGGGGGATGCATTATTTTCATGGATGTCCATTATCTCAAAAACTAGAACCAATTCAGCAAAAGTAATGGGATTTTTGAATTCAGCAGCCTCAAAATACCCTAAATCCATTAAAAAAACCTTGGCACCTGGAAAAAAAATGTTTTTTTGTAGACCTGTGTTATAACAGTAGCAGTAATACTATAGTTATTTGTATTCTAGTGAACACTATCAATATACAGATTGATAATTAATAATTACACTGTTCCTTATGTTCATGGAGCTCATCTCATCGATTAACTGTCTTGTTTTCAGCTCAGTACAAAAGTGTGGATTAGAACTTCCAGGAACAGGCTGCCTTTTTGACTGGGCAGGTGTCCTCTGCACTGAAATCCATATGTATCCTGCATGGAGGGATGTAAGATGTTACCAGGTCCATGTGGAGAATCTGACATTTGAATTGGCTCCAGGTACATCGCCAAATTACTGGTAATTCTATGGCGCATTGAGATTTCTTAAAGAACATCCAGAAAAGGTGTGAGAAGAACACTTTTCATCTCCCTTTGAACCTGTGTCCCTTTGAATGCTCACTCCGTGCTTGACAGTAATCCGAAACGTTCACAATGGTACATTGAATTATGGATGTGCTGATTTCACACGAATGATACAAAGGTGCTGAGTTTTCACTGTGCAGCCCTATAATTTGCCTTCTTTTGAACAAGGTTTGTCATAAACGAGATAATCTTTCTAAAAGATTTTATGACTGCCTTTCATAACAGTTTTTTTTGTTACCCAAAACAGATCTTTTCAGCTACCTGGCTGCCAGCTGCAGACATGCCTGATGTACTTTTCCAGCTGACCTAGGAATTAGTGTGCAGTCCATCAGCTGTCTTGTGCTTTCAGAATAAAAGTCCTGCTGATGAATATCTAATAAAGATACTTACGCAGAACTTCTTTTCCATATGCATCTGAAGTTTAAAAGCAAAATGGTTACATTTTCTGTTCCTGGAATGAGGACAATGCAGAAAGTCAGCTTCTGGGTCTCGGGCTTTTTTGGTCAGAAGGTCATGGCCCTGGGATGGGGTGCCCCCCCCCCCACTCTGCAGATCAAAGCAGATTCTGTCATATTCAGTGGGTGAAGAAAGACATTATATCTTTACGCCAGCTTTTGAAGACTACACCTCATGATTTCAGTTTTCTTTCCCTTTTGAAAGAAATGTCTTCCCTGATATGTTGCTTTGTAATATGGATGCGTATGCATTACCCGTAATGCCCAGTAGGAGGCAGCGTGTTATTACACCTCATGTGTTGCTTTGTAATATGGATGTGTATGCATTACCCGTAATGCCCAGTAGGAGGCAGCGTGTTATTACACCTGAGATTTTCAGTTCTTTTGCAGCCAGTTTCTTTGCCTGCATTCTAACAGCTTAACTCGCCAAAGTAATACAGACGACTGTCTCCTGCAGGAGAACAGTGTGGTTCCATAAAACAAAGACAGTCGCAGGTGTTAAACCTCAGTGTCTCTTTTAGTGTTGGGCTTTTCATTTGGCGTGTGCCGCACCCCCTGGGTAGGGGCGGGATCCGTCCTCGTCATCCGTCCTCTTCCTCTCTACTACATCTTGTTCCTTCCCCTGCCTTCCTCTTGTCATTCTCTTCCAGAACCTCATCTTTCTTTAATGTTATGTCTGTGTTCTTGCCTGCTATTTCAACTTTGATGTTAATTCTGATTTTATTCTCGAGTTTGTTTCATTTTGTTGCTTTCCATTTTTTACATGTTAATACTCACAAAACATGTCCGCTCTCCAAAAGCCCAAAAGAACCACGAGAATGCAACTTCATGAGATTCAAAAGTACACAAACTGGAAGCTTACCATGGAAGCCTTCATCATAGAATTAGTGAAACTCTATGCCTCATATCTCTAGCTGAGTATGAATTTATCATACATATCCAAAGGGCCAAGCAATGGAATCATGCAGAACTACACTGGTAATCATTATATTCTTCTTGGGCACATTAACATGGTCCGAGGCTTGTGGGCTTTTCGACTTGTCACAGACCCCTTACTAATTACTCTGATGGTGTAGATCTGTGTTTCCCAACCCGGTGCAAGGAGACACACAGATGGACCACGTTTTTGCTCTCATGCATTCCGGAATTCTCTCCATGTTTTTAAACCGCTTACACGGCACAGCGTGTTGATATGTGGTGCTGGGTGCAGGGCCTTGGCGAGGAGTGAGCAAGTGTCTAAAGGACGAATGACAAATACTGTTCTGAGTTTTTTCCAGAATTTGTAGTTTGTTAAGTAATTAATTTTTTTTTACACTTGTTATGCCCCAAGTGTGCCCGCTACGACCCTCACTGAACACACCCCAAGTGTGCCCGCTACGACCCTCACTCAACACACCCCAAGTGTGTCCGCTACGACCCTCACTCAACACACCCCAAGTGTGTCCGCTACGACCCTCACTTAACACACCCCAAGTGTGTCCCTCACTTAACACACCCCAAGTGTGTCCGCTACGACCCCACTTAACACACCCCAATTGTGTCCGCTATGACCCTCACTTAACACATACTGCTTCCATTGCTTTATGGCCTCTGCTTGGTTTGAATCCATCAACAGCAATCAGACTGTCGACTTTCTGCAGCCATTTATTTCAGATCATGAATGTTTTTTTCTTTTAATACGAATCAAGTCGTGTCATATACACATCTTTTGTTAAACCTAGATTTTGTTTTAATCATGTACATTTCTTATTTATATTTATATTTTAGTGATATTTTATTTATGATAATTTTCATTTGAAGCCATTTTAGAATGAATGCAATGTTTCATAGTACAGCCTTTACTATTATTATTTTAATAGTTAAATCTGTGTCCTTAAAAACCCATGTTCAAACTTAATAAGGTTGGGGGCACGATAATCTTCTTACCGACAAGTGGGGGGCCCAGCAGAAGATGTTTGGAAACGACTCTTTTAATCTGGCAATTCGTATGAGACGAAGTCAGTCTACTTTTATTCATCTTGACCCTCTAGCATTGAAACACAAAAACTTTGAAACATTTCGAAACGCAGTGATGTCACAGGATTCGTTTAAATCATGTGATATACAGTTTGATATGTGCCCTGAAGCACTGCTCTATCATCTCCGCATCACTACTCCATATATGACGATGATTATCTTCATCTTCTAATTAGGCAGCTAAGCTGTAATGGAAATGAGGCTCATTTATAGACCCTGCATGCAGGAAAAACGTTATTAGAAACAGGGTGATTATTTATTACAAACAGGTTTACAGTCTCGGGAGTTAATTAAAAGAGTGAGCAAACTTCTCAAAGAAGCCTGTTATTTGTCTGCACAATGTGTATATTTTTTGTTTGGTTAATCACAACTGGTGTTGTTTTGTAACTATATAATACCAATGCATGCTGATAAAAGGTTTGCTCACACACACAAACGAATAAATGAAAAATGAACAATAAGCTGCACCATTTAACAGTTTTATTTTTATTCAAATTTTTATCAGTGGAATCAGAGAAATAAGCAGTACTTTTAAAAACATACTTTTAAATCAAAATATAACAAATATATACACTTGATGGTAAAAATACAAAATAGTACACAAGCAAAGCATTGTCTTTCTAAAAGACATAAGTTACAACAACTATCAAAAGGGAGACAAAAATAAGACTTAATAGCAAACTTAATTGTTACTTGTGCAGTGTAATTGCTACTCTTTGCTTATAATTGTGCAATTCTGCCTTATGAATATATCTTTATGTATATTAATTTCACATTTCACTTATTGCATTCCAGATAATGTAGCAGATCATATGTTCAGTCAGCAAGAAGTGAAGTTTAACTTTAACTCAAAATGCAGATATAACAACATCCCATATTCAGCTGCAGGAAAACACCAAAAACTAAAGGTGTCATTCAGTGTTGTCAGTCACTGTTTCACTCATAACATGATATATTTGCCACACTCAAGGTCTCAGATTTCTTCAGCTTACCTGGAGAATAAATAAGAGTTTGCTATTGACACATTCGA